AGCAGGAATACTTTTCTACATCAGCCCCTAAGGTTGCTCCAGTGTAATCAGGAACACAAACTTCATAATTAGAGAAACAGGTGAGAAAATTATGAGGGTTATTATAGACACCAATATAATTAAAGATACATACCAGACCATGCAGACTACTATTTACTTCTGTTATTTAGGCTCCATTTACAAACGTGCAGGTCTATTCCTGAAGAATGTCCACAAGGGAAATAATGCTTTCACATAAATTTATGTTATACCAGAGAAAGGCAGATCTGAAATCTCCCAACCCTCTAACTGTACTGATCAGCGTCCTGGAAACAGGTTTATCTGTCCTCTGTGCTGCCTTTTCTCTCGGACTTTAATTGCTTCTCCAACACAGAATAAGGATTCTGAAATGTGCCTTATCTCCCACAAAAGAGTTTGTAATATCATAAATGTAGGCCCAGAGTACTGGGAAACCATCATTAGTGTGCAGTTCCAGTGGTACACGGGTCATTTCTTACCCTACTGCACAGTAGCAATGAGCTACTGCACAGTAGTGCCGGCATCACAGTTTGTGCCCCTGATGCTATGTCACTGTAGCAATGAGCTATGTTGGAAAAGACTGTAGATTTTTGGTTATCTCACAATCTTTCTTTAGGGAGAGTAAGTTGCTAGTTAATGCTATAATAATGGGGTCTGGGCAATACATAAATGACTTAAGCAGCTCTAAACTTTATTTATTAGTGATGCTTATAGGACAGTGTACTCCACTTAAGAGGCATGCAGGATGTATGCATATTACGCTTAACTTCACTAAAAAAAACACCACGGTCCCAATCTGTTACCTATTGCTTGTTTTGATGCATGTCTGTTATGTGTGTATCAGTTATGCAGAGTAAATGCATTGGGTAAGTGCCTAGGACCTCTTGGCCTGCTGTCTACTTTGTAACATACACTATGCTTCCTCTAAAGGCACAGTAGGTGAAACTGAGTAGCACCTGTCACTTTCAAGGCTTTTAAAGCAGTCTGGAATGAATTATGTCCTCTCAAGTTCTGGACTGCTCTTAGAGTCAGAAAGCTGTATAGGAAATACTGTAACTTCCTTTACTGAGGTGCAAAAAGCTTAGTGCAGGCTGTTCCTGTCTTGTGAATTTTGTCCGTTCCCAGTAAATGCATAGCCTTTTCAGTTTGAGACTCTTCACTTGGTGCGAATACACTTGGATTAACATTCAGATTTTTTTTTTAAACCTTCACCTAAGGTAAATTACAATATTATGCCTTGGTTTCCCCTATAGGAACCCCCGTCCTCCCCAGTTATTTTGGTAACTACAACAGTTAGACTGGAACACATTATGTAATTACTAAATGGTAAGAGCTAAGCAATAAGGAGTCAATAGTAGATGCTGATGGCTGCTGCTCCCCATAACCCAGACTCTGAGGAGACATCTGGCCAATGAATTCAGACTAAATTTGTCAGTCAAATCAGTCATCAGAGGAAATCTGGTTTTAAAAGCATTCTATCAGGCAACAGAGGGCACGTCTACATGTGTGCCCAACTGCAGTTGTTACTGTGCAATACTTGCTTTAGGTGTATTAAATGACTGCAGTATCCGCTGTTGAGCTGCTGTACAGTAGTGCCGGCATCACTGTTTGTGCCCTCTGATGCGATGTCACTGTAGCAATGAGCTATGTTGCTGTAGCTCATCACTATGGTGACATAGTTTCTTGTGTAGATGCACCCAGAAAGTATTAATCTTCAAGGCAGTATTAATATGTAAGAGAGTGGTCAAGAACACAACATGCCACAGACACATTTTATGTTTACTTGTACAGCAGATCAAGATAATTCCAAGGATTTGTGATTAGCTTGGGAGAAAGCAAGCAAGCAAAGTGCTTCATTACAGTCACTTAAAGGCAGAAAGGCCCAATATCTAAAGGGCTTTGGAAAACAACTTATAAAAAGAGACTCTCAACTCTCATTCAGGTAATGGGACCTGCAAGGCTCTCCACAGCTTGGCAGTTCATTCACCCTGTGACTGCAAACATGTGACTGAAAGTGTAAATGCTGACAGAATCAGACATCAGCTGGCCTGAGAGGGGAGAGCAAGGTAAAAGGGTCTCAGTTGTGATGGCAGGGGGAATTTAGTAGCTACAAAATGGATTTCAAGAGTCTTTTTGTTGCTCTTGAGTGAGTGGCCTGGAAAGATGTAAGTAGGGTGGAGAGATTTTATTTTTAACCCAAAATGATCAAGTGCATCTAATTATTTTTCCATTAATATCTGCCTAGCCTATAGATCTGTATGAACCCTTGAGAAACTCATGTGAAATAATTAACATTATGATCTGAAAATCATCTCTCTGCTTTTTAAACATTTGCTTGTTCTTTAAGAAGAGCCACAGTTGCAGCTGGGGTTTGACCAGGGAATGCTGAGTTTCCCATAGATTATTTTTCACATTTCCTTCAGAAAATGTCATGTTGCAAAGTGCAGATGTTTTCCTGATGGACTGTAAGCCAAAATGCCATGTTAGTTGCATGCATCTCTATTTATGTATAAACAACTCACACAATCAGCTGAGAGCAAATCCTCACACTAAAAGGAGCTTAGGGAGGCTGAGAGAGAGAGAAGGAGTTGTAGCTCCCCATTACATTTCCCCATCCACTGATATTCCACCCGAGACTCTGCGGGTACAACTGAGAGTCAGTTTGCTACAGAGTTGTAGGCAGAGGGGCTGCATAGACAGTATTGTTCCTGAGACTGCCATGTCAGTTAGGGTTGGGGAGACAAGCAATGCAAAATAAGGCTGATCAGGTCAGCATGCCTCTCCAGTTGCTGTTCCTTCACATGACAGGGGCAGCGTTCCTTCTAAGCTGTGTGGTGTGCCCAGCTGTGCAGGTGCACTCATGCTGCACTGCCAGGCACGCCTGTACGGCTGCACACACTGCACAGCTTAGAGGGAATGCTAGACAGGGGGCAGCCAAGGGCCAGGTCTCACACTGGTCCACCCACCTGTCTAGGGCAGTCAGCCCCATCTTTCCTGTCACGACTTGATGTACTGTTTGATATAATAAGCAAGAGGCTGCCCATTATACTGCCCTTATGCCTGGGGGTGCTGTCCATAGCTCAGTACCTCCCCTACTCCATGGCCCATGACTTGCAGAAGGCATCTAGTTTATTATTACAGCTCTAGCTTGAGGCTGGGCTAAACTCAGTCCACTGTTGGGCCTCCCACATACTACCCCATTCGGGGTCACACTCGTACCGCCCCGCTCTCACTGGGGCCTCTACTACTTTGCCCTCTCTCACCAGGCTTCTTGCACACTGGCCGTCACTGGACCACATCCACCCTGCCCTGCTCCCTTGTGTGGCTCCTGTAGGCCATCAGCTTTGTCTCTTCACTCCTTGGCTGGCCAGCAAGCAGCCTCTTGGGCCCTCCATGACCCTTATCTGGATTGCAACCACACACACACACACACACACACACACACACACACACACACACACTTATGGGGGTTGGCCCATGTGCTGCTCTTCAGGCAGTCACTTCAGCCCTACTCAGTACCCATACTGCACCTGTCTTCAGGCTGTGCACCCTACTGTGTGCAAGCTATCAGATTCATGGCCCCTTCTCTGGGGCCTCTGGGGTCATACATTCCCACTCATGAGGTTCGGGTGCCTGTACAGGTGGGCCTGGCCCCTGATACTCATAAGTTACCCACTGAGGAGTGGGGGCTAGGGTTATAAGGTGCCCCTACTTGCCTTTCACTGGGAAGGTAACTGGCCTAGCATTTCTGGGAGACTGTTCCACCACAAACAGCCCCGCCAGACCACCCTTCCTCAGCAGGGTACAGTTTTCAGTCTTACCCAGGGCCAGGAACTTTCTGCCATCCCCATAGCTCCTGCCCTTACCTCCAAGATGTCCCAAGCAACAACTCAGC